ACCACAACTTGTATTAAATAATTGCCATACTATTGAATCTTGCCGACTAATATGAGCATCAGGATAGAAGAGTGCACCAAATTTGAGATACATAGGATCCAAAAGAAAAAGTTCTTCAGGATCTCTTGTGACATATGCATCAGAATCGAGAAAGAGCACTTCAGCAAATGTAGCACTTAAAATTGCAGCTGGTTTATAAGCAAAGTTTTTAAGAAGATTATTGCCTGCTGGTTTGTAAACATGAGTAGTGTTCAATTGCCATGTTTTTTGATAAGTTCTACATTGAGCTGTATGAAAACAACAAACACTTAAATTAACTCTTGGTGCATATTTAAATAATTTAATCATATTTTTATGTGAGATTGTAGTGGATGAATACCATATCTAAAAAGAAAATAATATCTATTCCTATATTGTAATAGATAGAAGAAGAATATCTTTGCCTTTTGGCTACCCTTCAGTATAGGACAATGCCCAAGAACAATTTCAGAAGTCCGATGTTTTTCCTACAACTATGACTCGCTGCAGCTCTGAATCGAAGGCCGATCTGACGCAGAATTCTTCACACTCAACTACTTGCGCTCCTCATATACATTGAGTGACCACATACTGTCGGAACGGTGATCCGAGATTTGTATTTATAAATAGTTTTAATAAGAAAAATTGAATCTACAGTTTTATCTGTTTTCTCCTGACTTTCTAAGTCATTATTTATATCAATCGATTTATCAAAAATTTAAGACATATTTATAATATGAAATTATTCGGTTTGTTTATAGTTTTCAACTGTTCATTCAAATTTATGTGGATGACTCACTTTGTCTTCAGTTATTTATAAAAGTATTATTTATATATATATATAATGAAACATAATCATATTTACCTGAACACTTAGTCGAGTACGACTATGTTCAATCATCTTTAAATTAACTTTTGCTAGTGACATTTGATTTGGTCCAATAGTGAGAACAATACCACGACCTTGAAAATAATCATTTGGATAAGATATCATTTGTTGACGAAGTTGAATTAATAATGGAGGAATATGAGAATACATAGATTTTTGTTGTTCATTCATTGGATTTGTTATATTACATCCATATGTTGAATTGTCATACATTTGTGAATAACTTGTTAGATGTTCATTAATCAATTGATGTGTGAAGGATGTATTGA